TCCACCTGGCTTCACTGGGACTTTCCCTCCTGGCACCCAGTGGAGCCTCCGACGGCCAGTCTACGGTCTCCGCCAGGCACCGCGTGAGTGGCACGACACACTGAGGACTACGCTTGCGGCTCTTGGGTTTGCTCCTTCTACTGCTGACCCGTCGCTGTTTCTTCGCACCGACACTTCCCTGCCGCCGTTCTACATCCTCGTGTACGTCGACGACCTGGTCTTTGCCACAGCGGACACTGCTGGACTCGCCTACGTGAAGTCCGAGCTGTTGAAGAGACACACGTGCACAGACCTGGGTGAACTGCGCAGCTACCTTGGCTTGCAGATCACTCGGGACAGAGCACGCCGCACCATTACCTTGACTCAGTCACACATGGTGCAGCAGGTCCTTCAGCGCTTCGGCTTCACGTACTCCTCGCCTCAGGCCACTCCTCTGCCTACTCGCCACTCACTCTCAGCTCTGCCTTCGGATGAGTCCGTAGAGTCGAGTGGTCCGTATGCGGAGCTTGTTGGCTGCCTCATGTACCTGATGACCTGCACACGACCTGACCTTGCATACCCTCTGAGCATTCTTGCACGCTATGTTGCTCCTGGGAGACACAGACCGGAGCACATGGCTGCAGCGAAGAGGGTATTGCGCTACCTGTGCAGTACGTCAGGCATGGGGCTAGTGCTTGGAGGGCGGAGTCCAGTGGTCCTTACCGGCCACGCGGACGCTTCTTGGGCTGACGACCAGGCTACGCAGCGGTCGTCACAGGGTTACACCTTCAGCCTTGGTTTCGGCTCTGTCTCGTGGCGGTCTACTCGCTCGTCTTCGGTTCTCGGCTCCAGTTGTGAGGCTGAGATCTACGCCGGGGCCATGGCTGCACAGGAGCTTCGCTGGCTCACCTACCTGCTGACTGACCTTGGAGAGCCGCCTCGTTCTCCTCCAGTGCTGTACGTAGACAACAAGGCTATGCTGGCCTTGTGTCGAGAGCAGCGCTTGGAGCACAGAACGAAGCACATTGCTCTCCGCTACTTCCTTGCTCGTGAGCTGCAGCAGCGTGGTCAGTTGCGACTTGCGTACGTGGCCTCTGAGGCCAACACTGCTGATGTGTTCACCAAGGCACTTGCGCCTTGTGACCATCAGCGCTTCTGCACCCAGCTGGGTCTTGTGCCTGTCTTGCCTCACTTGCTCTCCTCTTGACTTCACTTGTACTGTGACATATATATATACCTGCTCTTGCTTGTCTAGCTTTATATATATGTCTGTACTCTTGCTTGTGAACTGGCCTTTGGCCTTGCTCTTGTGCTCGGACTGTGTGGTGACTTTGTGATCCACCCTGAGCTTTGCTTTGTCTTGCTTGACTGGTCTTGTGACCCCTTGTTCTCCCCCACTTTGCCTATGGGGGTGTGTCAGAACATATCTATAGCTTATACTGCTGTGTAGGCTGTAGTGGGGTATCCCATAGGGGGTACAACCCAGTTAGGGTTTCATATTTGTACTACTTTCATTCATAGTTCATTCATTCCTGTTTACCTATCTTCACAGTCACCTCCCACCAATCCCACCCCAATCCTGCGATCGGTGTGCCCGATCGATTTTTCACTGCGAACGCGCGATCGATCGAGGGAGGGGACGCGCCCTAAGAGAATCTGTAATCAACTGCAAAACATTTGAGACTGAGTTACCTTGTTTTTCTAGGCGAGGCAGACTGGTTTGAGAAGAAACGAGAATGAATAAACTATGAATGAATTGGGTACAAGTACTAACCCTAATTGGGTTGTACCCCTTATGGGCTACCCCACTATAGCCTACACAATATGCATGAGCTATATGTTCTGACACACCCCCATAGGCAAAATGGGGGAGAACAAGGGGTCACAAGACCAGTCAAGCAAAGCAAGCTCAGGGTGGATCACAAAGTCACCACACATTCCGAGCACAAGTTAAAGGCCACAAGGCCAGTTCACATGCAGGAGTACATATATATAAAAAGGCTAGACAAGCAAGAGCAGGTATATATATATGTAACAGTACAAACAAGGTCAAGGGGTGAGCAAGCGAGGCAAGGCAGGCACAAGACCCAGCTGAGTACAGAAGCGCTGATGATCACAAAGCGCAAGCGCCTTGGTGAAGATATCAGCAGTGTTGGCCTCAGAGGCCACGTACGCAAGGCGCAGCTGACCACGCTGCTGTAGCTCACGAGCAAGGAAGTAGCGAAGAGCAATGTGCTTCGTTCTGTGCTCAAGTCTCTGCTCCCGACACAACCCCGGCATAGCCTTGTTGTCTACGTACAGCACTGGAGGAGAACGAGGCGGCTCTCCGAGGTCAGTCAGCAGGTAGGTGAGCCAGCGAAGCTCATGTGCAGCCATGGCTCCTACGTAGATCTCAGCCTCACAACTGGAGCCGAGAACAGAAGACGAGCGAGTAGCCCGCCACGAGACAGAGCCGGAACCAAGGCTGAAGGTGTAACCCTGTGACGACCGCTGCGTAGCCTGGTCGTCAGCCCAAGAAGCGTCTGCGTGCCCTGTGAGGACCACTGGACTCTGCCCTCCAAGCACAAGCCCCATGCCCGACGTACTGCACAAGTAGCGCAACACCCTCTTCGCTGCAGCCATGTGCTCCGGTCTGTGTCTCCCAGGAGCAACATAGCGTGCGAGAATGCTAAGAGGGTATGCAAGGTCAGGTCGTGTGCAGGTCATCAGGTACATGAGGCAGCCAACAAGCTCTGCGTACGGGCCACTCGACTCTAGGGACTCATCCGAAGGCAGAGCTGAGAGCGAGTGGCGAGTAGGCAGAGGAGTGGCCTGAGGCGAGGAGTACGTGAAGCCGAAGCGCTGAAGGACCTGCTGCACCATGTGTGACTGAGTCAGGGTAATGGTGCGGCGTGCTCTGTCTCGAGTGATCTCCAAGCCAAGATAGCTGCGCAGTTCACCCAGGTCAGTGCACGTGTGTCTCTTCTGCAGCTCAGACTTCACGCGAGCGAGTCCAGCAGTGTCAGCTGTGGCAAAGACCAAGTCGTCAACGTACACGAGGATGTAGAACGGCGGCAGAGAAGTGTCGGTGCGCAGAAACAGCGACGGGTCGGCAGTAGAGGGAGCAAACCCAAGAGCCGCAAGTGTAGTCCTCAGTGTGTCGTGCCACTCACGCGGTGCCTGGCGGAGACCGTAGACTGGCCGCCGGAGGCTCCACTGGGTGCCAGGAGGAAAAGACCCAGTGAAACCAGGTGGGCGACGCAGCCAGATCTCCTTGTGCAGGCTGTCCTGCAAGAAAGCTGTGCTGAAGTCAAGAGAGTGTAGCTCGTAGTCACGGTGAGCAGCTATGTGCAGCAGTACCCGAAGAGTGGTCATCTTCGGGGTGGGAGAGAAGGTCTGAAAGTAGTCAACTCCCTGCCGCTGACTGAAGCCATGAGCCACGTAACGCGCCTTGAAGACAGGCGGAGAACCCGGCGGTCGCTTCACCCTGAAAATCCACATGCCACTGACGATGTTCGCCCCAGGAGGGGGAACAGCGTCAACGTAGGTGCCTGTGGACTTCCAGGGAGCCACCTCTGCGTCCATAGCTGCCTACCACTGAGAGGAGTAGGGACCCTCTATCGCCTCCGCGTAAGAGCGCGGAGTCGGGATGTCAAGTGCATCCGGGTCTCCCTCAGGGGTAAGCTGTACGGACACGAGATGAGGTGAAGCAGCGGCCAAGCACTGGAACTCCTCCTGCCTGTCCTCAAGGACGTCCGTGCCAAGGGCACACTCACCCCCGACGGACGGAGGACAGACAGACTCAGACTCAGCAACAAGACTGGCGGCGTAGTCTAGGCGACTGCGAGCCGCAAAGTCGACGAGCTCAGCAACTAGGGAAGACGCAGCAGTGGACTCAAAGGAAGGGTCAGTGACAACAGTAGCAAGGAGACGCGTGAGAATCGGATTGGCAGCACGAAGAGAGTCCGACTCCGGGTCGGCAAGAGCAGGAAGAGAAGACTTAGGAGGAGAAGGAAAAGGGGCACGCAGAGGAGCAGTGGACGGACGCAGAGACATCCGGTGCGTGCCAGGGACAGATGGTGGACGCTGACGCGAACCGCGACCACTAGTGCGAGCAGCACGGACAGGCGACGCAGGGCGAGACGCAGGCTCACGACGCTCAGCAAGACCTCTAGTAGCACCAGTGTAGGGAGACGGAGCAGGCAGTGGGGAGGCCGGCTGTAACTGTAACTGCGACAGGACAGGCTATGGACACTCTAAGGGAGGAGGAGGACCAGTAGAAGACGGGAGACCAAGAACCTGCTGAAGGAGCGGAACGAAGTACGGCCGAGGCCGCGCGGCGACTCCAGACACAGCAGGGACACCACCAGCACCCCCAGTGGCAGCACCAGCATCAGTAGCAGCTCCAGCTCCAGTACCTCCAGCAGAACCAGTAGTACCCCCAGCAGGACCGCCTCCATGACCGGCAGTAGTAGCCTCCGCGCCAACACCCGCAGCAGCTCCAGCTCCAGAAGTAGCCGCAGGTCCAGCAGCTCCAGTACTCCCAGTACGAGCACCTCCGGGACCCGTGGCACCAGCTCCCTCAGCAGCAACAGAACCTCCAGTACCCGCAGCACCTCTAGCTCCAGCAGCTCGCCTCCAGCGCCGGGCAAACCACTCACGCAGCTCCTGTGGAGAGAGTGGCTCCCGGCGAGAAGCACCCGGAGAACCACCAGGCACAGCACAAGCAGGCCCAGCTCCCTCAGGCTCCGCACCCCCAGGCTCAGCACCTCCAGGCGTAGCACCCCCAAGCTCAGCACCCCCAGGCTCAGCACCCCCAGGCTCAGCACCCCCAGGCGTAGCACCCCCAGGCTCAGCACCCCCAGACTCAGCAACCCCAGGCTCAGCACCCCCAGGCTCAGCACCCCCAGTCGTAGTACCCTCAGGCTCAGCACCCACAGGCGTAGCACCCACACGCTCAGCACCCCAAGAGTCAGCACCCCCAGGCTCAGCACCCTCAGCAGCACCAGAGTCACCAGCGACCTCGACAGGGTCAACATCGTCTACCCGGGACACACCTGAAGGGGCAGGACCCAGAGGGGGGAGGGGGTCTACCGGGGGGGGACCTGGCACAAGGAAAAGCGGTGGCGGGGGGAGGGACGGAGTGCGGTAGGGGAAGAGACGGTAGTAGGGGACCGACTCATCAAACGTGACGTCCTGGGAGGACAGAACAAGGCGAGAGGTGGGGTGGTAGAACTGCCACCCTGGCGCGTCAGGGGGGAAACCCAGGAAGACGCAAGGAGCAGCACGAGGGGACAGCTTGTCCTCAGACAAGTCGCGGACAAACGCCCGAGATCCCCAGACACGGAACGCAGACGCATCGCCAACCTTCCCCGTCCACAGCAAAGCTGGGGAGGTCTCCGGCATGGAGACCCTGGGCTGAAGGTTGATCTGATGCGCCGCGTACCGAACCGCAAACGGCCACAGAAAATGGGGGGCAGCCGCATGCATCATGGACGTACGGGCGACGTCCATGACCATGCCAATGTGGCGCTCAGCAATCCCATTTTGCTGTGGAGAGTCCGGAAGCGTGAAGGTCTGGCGGATGCCTCGTGCACGACAGTAGGCTCGCAGAAGGCCAGAGGAGAACTCTCCGCCTCTGTCAGAGTGCAGACGCAGAACAGGAAAGTCCGAGCCGAAGCTCTCCCTGAGCTGGAGACGAGCTGCGTGGATCCAGTCGATCAACACCTCAGTGACATCACCCTTGCTGCGCAAGGGGAAGACTGTGGTGTAACGCGAGTAGTCGTCAACCACCAGCAGGAAGTAGCACTCGTTACCCTGTCCATGGACGCGGGCTGGGCCCCACACGTCCATGTGAAGCGTCTGCAGCGGAGCCTCTGTCGGAGGAAACTCAGAGGAGTGAGGGGTAGCCCGCTGCCGCCCCTCGACACAAGGGACGCAGGTAGGGCCAGGCCCCGAAGGAAGGGGAGGGAGGGACCGGGGAAGACCAGAGACAAGGACACGGGAGGCCATGCTTCGGAGACGAAGCAGGGAGGGGTGACCAAGGCGGTGGTGCCAGAGGAGAGTTTCATGAGACAGGAGGCGACACGAGCAGGGGGCAGACTCAGGACCAGACCTGGACGCAGCAGCTAACACCTGACCCGACGCAGCTACCTGACAAGACGGAGGGACTGGAGGAGACGCAGTGGTCAGTGTGTACAGGCTCGACCCCGGCCGACGTGTAAACGTGGCCAGGTGTCGGCCTGTCCGAGCGTCCGTGCAGTGGGTCACCCGCTGACTCGCAGGAGTGAACTGGTGAACCCCTGCATCCTGTAGGTCAGCACCACTCACCAAGTTTGTAGAGAACGAGGGGAGGTAAAGACCAGACAGGGTGCCAGAGGGGGCCGCCGGACACGGGAGGACAGTGGAGAAGTGAGAGAGGACAGGACCCCCAGAGGGGTCCGCCAGAGAGACTGCAACTGGCCGACGCACTAGCACCTAGAGCAGCAGCCTCGCTAGCACCAAGATCAGCAGCCTCACCAGCACCTAGAGCAGCATTCTCAATGCCCGAGTCGGGCGGGAAACACCAGTAACAGTCACCCTCCTCACTAATAGACACAGTATACATAGCAGCAAGAATAGCATCAAAGTCAAGGTCAAAGATAGCTACCCCTGCCCTAGACAGCTCGCCCCAGCGAGGGATCTCAGTGGCCTCAGGGAACTGGTGACGCCAAGCGTCCGTCACGCGGTAAAAGCAGTGCTGGGTGGGGTGCGCACCCCCACACTGCTCACCCGCACGGTCGCCGGTGCGCAGGATGTAGGTGCACGGACCAGTACCCCCACCCCGCTGGCGTGCAGAGTACCACTTACAGAGCTGCTGAGGGGACTGGGTCTCCCGACTGCGCTGCTGCTGCTGGCGCTGACCACCACCGGAGCCACTCCTCTGCGAAGAGCCACGACCTCCTCCTCCTCCTCCTCCGCCACCGCCTCCTCCAACTCCGCCACCTCCACCACCTCCGCTCCCACCGCCACCGCCGCCGCCGCCTCCGCCTCCACTGCCGCCGCCGACACCTCCACCCCCGCCACCACTCCCACCACCACCCCCACCCCCTCCACTGCCTCCACCGCCGCCTCCACCTCCCCCGCTAGCTCCCCCAGCGCCCCTGCCCCCCTTGCCCTTGCCAGAGCGATGCTTCCCACTAGGGGTAGACGCCGCACCTAGCGACTCCAGACCAACGAGGTCGGCCGCAGCAGCAGAGGCAACAGAGGGCAAGAGAGGGGAGGGGGAACACCCCTCAAAGATGGGGGTGCGCGGGTCACCACGAGAGGCCCCTACAGCGACTATGCTCTTCTCCGCTGCTAGGAGGGCCTTCTCGAGGAGGTCAACAGTGAGTGGTGGGACAGACCGAGAGAAAGTGGTCCCTGACTACGCGAAGGGAGTCAGGGAGGCGGGTGACTATGTAGTAGAGAGTGATGTACATGGGGGGGGGGGTTCTTGGCGCAGAAGTCAGCAGGAAGCGCACAGCGGTAGCGAGTGTCACTAGTGCGGAGGTGCGTAATGAGGTCAGCGACTGTGGGAAAGGCCGCAAGGTCAGGGAAGAGGTACGGTAGCATGAGGCGGCTCAGTGCAGCAATGGCAGGGGAGGAGTAGTGTGCAACTACAGCGTCGTACAAGGTATGAGCACTCTTGTACTGGCTAAAGTGCGCACGCTCAGAGGTAGGCAGGTGGCGACGCACAGCAAGACGTGCAGCAGCATCGCGCGTGGCCCACTGTGAGCAGACAGTGGCGTCAGCATCAGCAGCAGGGGCAGGAGAGGCACCAGAGTTGAGGTCAAAGAGAAAGAGACCGTCCGCCCTATCGCACTGTAAGAAAAGCTGCAGGTCATCTATCCAGACGTCAAAGTCAATGGCCCGACCCTCAGCGTCAAAAGGAAGGACACTAGGGGTAGCCATGACAGCAGTAGACTAGCAGTGCGAACAGTAGGGTGAGGGCAGTGCAGTGACAGAGGCGCTGCTCTTACCAGACAGGGCGGCTCGGGCGGTTGGGCGGTAGGCGGCTCGGCAGCTGGGCGTCTCGGCGGCTCGGCTGCTGGGCGGCTCGGCGGCTCGGCTGCTGGGCGGCTCGACGGCTGGGCGGCTAGGTGGCTTGGCTGCTGGGCGGCTCGACGGCTCGGCTGCTGGGCGGCGCAGCGGCTCGGCTGCTGGGCGGCTCGGTAGCTGGGCGACTCGGCGGCTCTGCTGCTGGGCGGCTCGGCGGGGCCGCAAAGGAGGCGGCGGAAGGGCCGCTGAGAGGGCGGCGTCCGGGGCCGCTGAGAGGAGGCGGCTGGGCTGCCGAGAGGAGGCGGCGGGGCCGCGGAGAGGAGGCGGCGGGGCCGCCGAGAGGAGGCGGCGGGGTCGCTTAAAGGAGGCGGTGGGGCCGCTGAAAGGGCGGCGACGAGGCCGCTGCAGGGGTAGTGGCGGGGCCGCTGAAAGGAGACGGCGGGGCCGCTGAAAGGAGACGGCAGGGCCGCTGAAAGGAGACGGCGGGGCCGCTGAAAGGAGACGGCGGGGCCGCTGAAAGGAGACGGCGGGGCCGCTGAGAAGGGCGGCGACGGGCCGCTGAAGAGGGCGGCGACAGAGCCGCAGGGAGGGCGGCGTCACGGCCGTGCAAGGGCGGCGACGGGGCCGCTGGTGAAAGGGCGACGAGGGGCCGCAGGGGGAGAGCGGCGACGGGCCGCGAAGGGCGGCGGGTCGGGGCCGCAAGAGCGGCGGATTGGGGCCGCAAGAGGTGTGGAGAATAGAGCGAGAATGAATGAACTATGAGTGAAGTGAGTACAAATGGCAAAACCCTAATTGGGTTGTACCCCCTATGGTATACCCCACTGTAGCCTACACAACAGCATAAGCTACATATATGTTCTGACACACCCCCATAGGCAAAGTGGGGGAGAACAAGGGGTCACAAGACCAGTCAAGCAAAGCAAAGCAAAGCTCAGGGTGGATCACAAAGTCACCACACAGTCCGAGCACAAGAGCAAGGCCACAAGGCCAGTTCACATGCAGGAGTATACACATATATATATAAAGCTAGACAAGCAAGAGCAGGTATATATATGTGACAGTACAAGTAAAGTCAAGAGGAGAGCAAGTGAGGCAAGACAGGCACAAGACCCGGCTGGGTGCAGAAGCGCTGATGGTCACAAGGCGCGAGTGCCTTGGTGAACACATCAGCAGTGTTGGCCTCAGAGGCCACGTACGCAAGCCGCAACTGTCCACGCTGCTGTAGCTCACGAGCAAGGAAGTAGCGAAGAGCAATGTGCTTCGTTCTGTGCTCCAGACGCTGCTCTCAACACAAGGCCAGCATGGCCTTGTTGTCTACGTACAGCACTGGAGGAGAACGAGGCGGCTCTCCAAGGTCAGTCAGCAGGTAGGTGAGCCAGCGAAGCTCCTGTGCAGCCATGGCCCCGGCGTAGATCTCAGCCTCACAACTCGAGCTGAGAACCGAAGACGAGCGAGTAGCCCGCCACGAGACAGAGCCGGAGCCAAGGCTGAAGGTGTAACCCTGTGACGACCGCTGCGTAGCCTGATCGTCAGCCCAAGAAGCGTCCGCGTGACCTGTAAGTACCACTGGACTCCGCCCTCCAAGCACTAGCCCCATGCCCGACGTACTGCACAGGTAGCGCAATACCCTCTTCGCTGCAGCCATGTGCTCAGGTCGGTGTCTCCCAGGAGCAACATAGCGTGCAAGAATGCTAAGAGGGTATGCAAGGTTAGGTCGTGTGCAGGTCATCAGGTACATGAGGCAGCCAACAAGCTCTGGGTACGGGCCACTCGACTCTACGGACTCATCCGAAGGCAGAGCTGAGAGCGAGTGGCGAGTAGACAGAGGGGTGGCCTGAGGTGAGGAGTACGTGAAGCCGAAGCGCTGAAGGACCTGCTGCACCATGTGTGACTGAGTCAAGGTAATGGTGCGGCGTGCTCTGTCCCGAGTGATCTGCAAGCCAAGGTAGCTGCGCAGTTCACCCAGGTCTGTGCACGTGTGTCTCTTCAGCAGCTCGGACTTCACGTAGGCGAGTCCAGCAGTGTCCGCTGTGGCAAAGACCAAGTCGTCGACGTACACGAGGATGTAGAACGGCGGCAGTGAAGTGTCGGTGCGCAGAAACAGCGACGGGTCAGCAGTAGAAGGAGCAAACCCAAGGGCCGCAAGTGTAGTCCTCAGTGTGTCGTGCCACTCACGTGGTGCCTAGCGGAGACCGTAGACTGGCCGTCGGAGGCTCCACTGGGTGCCAGGAGGGAAAGTCCCAGTGAAGCCAGGTGGACGGCGCAGCCAGATCTCCTCGTGCAGGCTCCCCTGCAAGAACGCAGTACTGAAGTCGAGAGAGTGAAGCTCGTAGTCGCGCTGAGCGGCTATGTGCAGCAGCACCCGAAGATTGGTCATCTTCGGGGTGGGAGAGAAGGTCTGAAAGTAGTCAACTCCCTGCCGCTGACTGAAGCCACGAGCGACGTACCGCGCCTTGAAGACAGGTGGAGAGCCCGGCGGCCGCTTCACCCTGAAGATCCACATGCCACTGACGATGTTCGCCCCAGGAGGGGGAACCGCGTCAACGTAGGTGCCTGTGGACTTCCAGGAAGCCATCTCTGCATCCATAGCTGCCTGCCACTGAGAGGAGTAGGGACCCTCTACGGCCTCCGCGTAAGAGCGCGGAGCCGGGATGTCTAGTGCATCCGGGTCTCCCTCAGGAGCAAGCAGTACAGACGCGAGATGAGGTGAAGCAGCAGCCAGACACTGGAACTCCTCCTGCCTGTCCTCTAGGACGTCCGTGCCAAGAGCACACTCACCCCCGACGGACGGAGGACAGACAGACGCAGACTCAGCAACAAGACTAGCAGCGTAGTCTAGACGACAGCGAGCAGCAAAGTCGACGAGCTCAGCGACAAGAGCAGACGCAGCATCGGACTCAAAAGAGGGGTCAGTGACGACAGTAGCAAGCAGACGCGTGACAGTAGGACTGGCAGCACGAAGGGAGTCCGACTCTGGGTCGGTAAGCACAGGAAGGGAGGACTCAGGAGGAGAAGGCAAAAGGGCACGCAGAGGAGCAGTGGACGGACGCAGAGACATCCGGTGCGTGCCAGGGACAGGAGGAGGACGCGGACGCGAACCACGACCACTAGCGCGGGCAGCACGAACAGGCGACGCGGGACGAGACGCAGGCTCACGACGCTCAGCAAGACCTCCAGTAGGACCAGTGTAAGGAGAGGGAGCAGGCAGTGGGGAGGTAGGCTCCAACAGTGACTGCGACTGGACAGGCTGTGGACACTCTACCGGAGGAGAAAGACCAAGAACCTGCTGCAGAAGCGGAACGAAGTACGGCCGAGGCCGCGCGGCGGCTCCAGACTCAGCAGGGACAGCACCAGCACCCTCAGCGGCAGCACCAGCGCCACCAACACCTCGAGCGGCAGGACCTCCAGCAGCACCAGCAGCAGAACCACCGTCAGGACAGACAGCAGCAGACTCAGCACCAACGCCCTCAGCAGCCCCAGCTCCAGTAGGACCCGCAGGCGTAGCACCTCCGGGACCGGCGGCACCAGTACCCTCGACGGTCGAAGAAGCTCCAGCTCCAGCAGTACGCCTCCAGCGGCGAGCAAACCACTCGCGCAGCTCCTGTGGAGAGAGGGGCTCCCGCCGAGACGCAGCACCAGGAGAAACCCCAGGCTCAGCGGCTCCAGACGTAGCACCCCAAGGCTCAGCAGCCCCAGACTCAGCACCCCCAGGCTCAGCAGCTCCAGACTCAGCACCCCCAGGCTCAGCAGCTCCAGCTCCAGTAGGACCCGCAGGCCCAGCAGCTCCGGGACCGGCAGCACCAGCACCCTCAGCAGTCGAAGGAGCTCCAGCTCCAGCAGCACGCCTCCAGCGGCGAGCAAACCACTCGCGCAGCTCCTGTGGAGAGAGACGTGCTCGGGCGGCTCAGGCTGCACGGCGGCTAACGGGCGGCGTGGGGGGCCAGGACGGCGGCGTGCAGCAGGGACGGGCGGCGCACGGGCGGTGTGAGGCCGGGACGGGCGCGCGCGGGCGGCTAGGGGCCGGGACGGGCGCGCGCGGGTGGCTAGGGGCCAGGACGGGCGGTGCGCGGGCGGCTAGGGGCCTGAACGCGCGGCGCGCGAGCGGCTAGGGGCCGGGACGGGCGGCGCGCGGGCGGCTGAGGGCCGGGACGGGCGGCGCGCGGGCGGCTAGGGGCCTGAACGGGCGGCGCGCGAGCGGCTAGGGGCCGGGACGGGCGGCGCGCGGGCGGCTAGGGGCCTGAACGGGCGGCGCGCGAGCGGCTAGGGGCCGGGACGGGCGGCGCGCGGGCGGCTAGGGGCCTGAACGGGCGGCGCGCGAGCGGCTAGGGGCCGGGACGGGCGGCGCGCGGGCGGCTAAGGGCCGGGACGGGCGGCGCGCGGGCGGCTAGGGGCCGGAACGGGCGGCGCGCGGGCGGCTAGGGGCCGGGACAGGCGGCGCGTGGGCGGCTAGGGGCCTGCAGGGCATGCCGAAAGAGTGAGAGCGAGGGCCCGGAGCGCGCTCCGGGCAGAAAAAAAAGTTTAAAAAAGTGGTGGGCCCTAAGCACAGTTCCCACGGGGGAACCTGCTCGATACCATGTGGAGAATAGAGCGAGAATGAATGAACTATGAGTGAAGTGAGTACAAATGGCAAAACCCTAATTGGGTTGTACCCCCTATGGTATACCCCACTGTAGCCTACACAACAGCATAAGCTACATATATGTTCTGACAAGAGGCCGCTAGGGGGCCGTGAGGGCGGCTTGGGCGGCGCGACGCAGCCGTTAGGGCGGCGCGACGCGGCCGTTAGGGCGGCGCGACGCGACCGCCAGGGCAGCGCGACGAGGCCGCTAGGGGCCGCTAAGGGCGACGCGACGTGGCCGTGAGGGGCCTAGTGAGGGCGCGACGGTAAGGAAGGCACACGAGGCGCGACTCGG